AACTATTTAATACTTATGATTCGTATGTTCTTTCGCCTCTGATGCCAATTCGTTAGTATTTTTGAACTAATTTGCATGAAAATATACTGAAAACATATTCGAGACATTTAATTCAAAAACTATTCGTGCTGATTGTTTAGTATTTGGCGGAACCCAACGAAATAATTATTTTTCAGGGTTTAATATCTGGCTTCCATCGTTTAATCTAACATTCCCTACAAGCTTTGCACAATTCGTAAGTTTCACCCTAGAACTAGTTTCATGGAATTGTTTGGAAACACGTTTCCTAGCTAAAGGTTATTAAAAGTAGTTTGTTTGTAAAAATATTTGTTTTTAAATGCTTTAAAACCAAGAAACAATAACGCCCTGTGTATCCATCTTTAGACATATCCAACGCCAGTAAATTCTATTTTCGTTGTAACCTCACGTCAGGAAGCTAAGCCAAAAGCCAAGGACGACATTTTCGATACGGGTATCTGGCAAGCGTTTCTAAGCATAATCCTATAAGAGATGAAGATATATTGCCTGTGCTACTGAGTATTACATTAATTTTTTAAGAGGGTCAGGCTTATAAGTAGTCAATGGGATTGCATCGCAGCTGAAACAGCTTATTGTGTACATATGTCGTGGTTGAGTAGGTAAACTAAAAAAAAAACTCGTCTGACAGCTAACCTCTAACCCAAGTATATGTTTGGGTTTTAATATTTGATTTTTATTGAAATAGATTTTTGTTCAAACATTCTACTGCTATTATTGAATATTTCTATTTCCAAAAGTTCCAGATGATGGTTGAGATCTTTCAGTAAGATTTGATTAATGGAAGCGATGGAGGTAACATTATTATAAGAAATAGTTTTGATAGTAAATAAAAAATAGAACCTATGGGGTAGGTAAATTATTTCAACGCAAAAATCCTATTTAAAGTAGGCCTACAATTAAAATGTAATACATATGAACATTAGATTAAATGGGTTTTAGTATTATATATAACCAAGGTCTTGCTGGTTTATATTAAACATTGCCCCTAAACTACTTTTAAACTTCATTTTCGCATTACACAAGGCAGTTTTTCTAGCTAGAACTAGTTTTACTACGTTATTATGTTTATGAAACGTCATTCAATTTAGTGTAATGTGTTAACGTGAATTTAATGTATTTAATTATAATTTAAAATTGAAATAACAATCGCTAAAGAGAATTAAAATGTGAAATAAACACCAGTAGCTGTCCATAACGGCGTTTAGTTAATTATTCCAGCTTGATTACGTCTAATTGTCTTTGTCAAGTTTATTTGAAGTTGTAAATTGCATTTTGTGTCCTTCAAATATACGTTTTTATCTACTAAATATTTCATCGCAATTAAAATTGCATGCAGTATTTGCCGGGTTTACTATTTGAATTTAAAAAAAAAGTCCTGTAAATAAAAGTCATAAAATTTCCGTTTTATCTTATTGGATCTTTTAAATTTTTCACACATATATTCTTAACATAAATTTATTTTAATTAGTGTGATTTTGACTATCCATATTTAAAAGTGGAACATTACAGTCATTGCTCCTAGTTTTCTTATTGTAGTCTCTTTCACATGTAGGCCTGAAAAAGGAATTATTACGGCTGGAAAACTTGTCAAAAGTATTTTTTATTAGCCTATAATTGTCTATTAAAATAAATCAAACCCCTATTCTTTTATCTCTAACTTACAAAAGTTAACAAGCAATAATGCCACTGCTAAACCCCCTAATAAACGTTATATCGGACATTATCTGAAATCAAAGCAATTTAATCATAATCTGCTTATCAGAAGGGGAAATTGATGAGGTGTGAAGTTTTTAATCACCCTTTAATAGCTTTGTTGATAATGAGTTTTTGTGATAATTACGAATGCATTTAGCCATCATGTTCATAAAATAGAAGTGAATAAATGTCCAGTTATTTGTATTTAATTTTATTAAAAAATAATTTTATTTATGTTAAAACTTGTTTTCGAGTTTTTCTAAACGTATAATTATTGCATTTGAAGCTAAAATACCGTCATTTGTACTGAAGTTAAAATATTTACCTAGGCAGTTATTATTGTTCGGAATTTCATACTGTACCAAATGAGTGTGTAAATAATTTTAATACAGACATTGTTCAATGGTGATGATTGTGTCTTTCCACAATTTAGGAAAAAAACATTAGTATGTGACATATTTTTTTACTTACGTTTGGCTTTTGGTAAAATGAGAAATGGACAGCCAAAGAAGAATAACGGGATAAGTTTGATATTCTCAGCGCTGCATGAGTTATGGTCCAAGATCCGTGTGTAACTTTTCCTTACTATGATTTATTGTGTATGTATTACATCTGACTGTGAGTCGAACTACACATCTTAATTTATATTTTATAGTTGTATTAAGTTTTGAATACAAATTAACGGAGTTAAATTAAGCTACGGTCAGGGTACGCTGATGTAAATTACTTATTTTATTCCAATATGCAACTTTTTAACCAATCAAAACTGAGTGGGAGACTTATTAAACGCTATAGCATTCTATGTCAAACCAATTATCACGGCAATTAAAGCTAAGAGAGAAGATATAATTTTAGACTGTGGTAAACTGTACGAGTGGTACATTCATCAATGTTCCTAAAAAAAAAAAAAAAAAATAGCTTCGGTTAGTCCATATTGATGGGATTTCTACTTAAGTATCCAAAATACAATGGTTTGACTTGTAAAAATTATTCTGGTATTGAAATGGGTGATTTTCTAGGGTTGTAACAATTTATTATATTTAATAAGTTGAATACTGTTAAAAAATAGTGCATTTAAGATTGGTTGAATTGATTCCTTGGTTTTTGTGGAATATTTCTCAATAAGGAATGAAATAAGCATAATTTCATTATCTATTTTATTGTTGTAACACTTTAAAGGCCTGTTATGAGATGGTGTATGTCTTCCAAGTTGTAGCTTTTGGAATAAAATCCACCCGCTTTCTTTTCTAAATGTCGCAAAATATATTTTCCACCAAGTAGGCCTACTTTAATTTTAAGGTTACATATCTTTTGAGTAAAATGATATGTAAGAAGTAATTCTGTTTTTTACAATTGTTTGTTTAATTTTGTGATATAAATCTGTTTTGCATCAAAATCTGTTATTTTTTACAACTATACGCTACAAGAAGCTTCAAACAATTTACCATGGACATATTACGTTGAGCTATATTTAACTTCATTAAACAATTTCAAATCTCCGTTATCATTATGCATATTTCCTCGGAGTCGCATTCAGTTAATTAAATCTGCCAAAGAACATCGCTGGGGAGCTGTGTAAAAAGAGCAGCATTCGAGTTTCATCTTGATAAAATTTTCATGCCAAATTAAATCATATGTATTATCATCTGTTTGTTCTGCTTTATGACTCTTGGACATTCCTAAGCATGTATAAGTTGTTAGTTTTGTGTCAAGTTCAAATTATGTCGATATAAGAGGTCTGTGATCAAAATATTTAAGGATTATCAAAATTGCAACAAATCAGAACTTCCAAACAATATTATTTTGTATGACGAAATAAATCAATAATTGCATTATCGAGGTAAAAAATCGTTACAAAATCATCATCTTTCTGTTTGGTAAGTTTATACGAAATATAATGGGTTAGTATCTTCAATCGAATTTAGGACATTGCAGTTTAACATTGCATTATATTTTATATTGCAGCTTTCAACATTGGGAGGATTATAGCGTGTCAAAGTACAAGCGGATCGTTATGAAACAAATTTAAATTTTCCATTTCTGCACCCCTTGTCCCTACCAATTGTTGATTCTACCACGCTTACACAGATACAAGACATAGACGGATACAAAACGTAGTTCAGGTCATTCCATACAAAAGCATGTAAATAACCAGCTTTAACAGCGTTAACATACAAAAATTAAACTAACAGATGGATTAAAATTTAAATTAAAATCATTTCCTAAACTAGAAACTTTTCATTCTTCATTGGTGACTTCTGTTGAATTTTCAGAGGTATCCAATTTCACAAAATCTTCATCTTCCACCATCAAATTGTTTGATTCACACTATCACCATAGGAATTGCCACCCAACAGTTAGATTATTGTCAATGTTTACTACTTGCAAGTTCATGTAGATGTGTTTGATGCAATAACCACATCTCCAAGTTCTGACTAGAACCAAGTTATAATCAAGTTGAAGTGTCGAACTCACCCTGAGGGTTGTATAACAACTTGATTGTATACCTCCCCGTCGTGGCATTAGAAAATTGGTTATTGCACTCTCGACACTTAATCAACTTTATCGTTGAAGAAGTTCAAATTGATTACCTGTTGCAGTCCTAATTTCATTAAGAAGATTAGTTTGAGATAATAGTTGAAAATTAGAGTTGGTTTGATGATGATAAATAAGCTACAAACTTGAAATATTGAGTACAAGTATAGTCATATAAAGGATCAGAAATACTAATATGACAGGGGCATATGTTTCATAATCATTGTTTGTCACAGTGCGGCGAAAACGGCTGTTTCCAATATGTTGTGAGTCTAATTAGCTCTTTCTAGGGTGGGCAATAATCAGATGTAGTCAATTACGTCATCCGTACAATTTATGACTTTGATATTTTCAGTTTTTTCAGTTACTTTTGCGACAAGAATAATGCAGTATGACCAAAATTTAGTTCATCTGGGCAAAAGTGTCTTTTTGAGAGTCACTTTAGACCCTAGTTACAAAACAGCATGGTTTTTCAATAGGGAAATAGTATATACACTGCGGCAAAAATTTTTGTTGTTGCAAATATAAAGTAGTTCTTTTTTTCCTTGGGCGAAAAATAACCAGCTAAAGTTGATGACGTCAGCTGTACATTATTTTGTCTACATTCGCTGGCCTTGCGAAAGAAAATAGTCCAGATTTTCTTAAACCAAAATTTAAGTTTTTAAAATGTATAGTAATTTATGTTTTATTATCTGTTAGTACAATGTTTAAAGCACTGTTTTCGTTTCCAGTTGACGATGAGGAATTTGTCACAAGGGGTCAGAAAGGTGATCGAGGGTTCCAGGTAAGTTAATATATGTTAAATACGTAGGTTCAATAATATAACTAAATTATGTTCATGTATATGTACTGTAATATAAATATATACTAAAAGAGAAAATGCTTTTGGTTAACTGTAGTTCTTCGATTTAAGACTTGTATTATTTTTACATTTGCAAGGAAACGGATAAAGGTAATAACAAACACTAGTGTTGTTATATTTTTTGTAAATTTTTAACACATTTGTTGACTTATTCATATCAATCATTCAATCTAATCTCTTTACATTGGAAGAAAACCTAGGATTTGTTTAAGGCCTATTGTACACCAAAACTATTAACGGTCAGAATGGTGTCTTCGATTTTATACTGAAGGTTAATATATATTTTGCTGTATATTGCTTAAATTTATCTTTATGGAATGTAGCAAATCTGTTTATTGCGGTTTATGGTTTTGCAATTTTACAAATGCATTCAATTATATGTGTTGCCCGTGGTAGGACACATAAGTATTTATCGAACATGATACACATACAGTGTGTAAAAAATGTCTCCCCCCCCCTATTTATTTTTTTTATTTTTTAAAATAATGAAATATCGTTTGGGGGGTGATAGTAACATAACGTGAAGTTTCTTTTGACATAGTTAAAATTTTTGAATTCCCCCCCTAAATGGGGGGTAAGGGGGGTAACTCAAAATTTTTAAATGTAAACCCCTAGCTTGTGACACCTCATTTGAAAGAGCATTAAAAAACTAGGTAAATGGTGAAAACTAGAAATTTCTATCTAATTTTTAACCGGAATTACAGCCAAAAACGCTCAAAATACGATATTTTTGGGAAACTCAAAAATGTAATTATTGCATACACCCTTTGAGTGATCCCTCATTTGAAAGATAAATAAAAATCAGGCCAATGATAAGGATTAATAATTTCTAACAGGTAATTAGATGGTTTTTTATGATTTTTACAAACAAACTAACCTTAAGTGCGAAATAACAGTAGCGATGTTGTGTTCACCAAATAAATTCACAGCAAATGTTCAAACTGAAGTCCTCCTACTTCCTGACAGTAAAATAAACGAGACGTGAACTCTTCCCTCACGTTATGGAATGTTTCCTCAGTGATTTTTCTGCAGGCTTCAACAATCCTGTGTCTCAAGTCTTCAATATTCTGTACGGGAGTTTTATAAATTGTCGATTTAATAAACCCCCATAGAAAAAAATCCAAAGGTGTTAGATCGGGGTACCGTGCTGGCCATTCTATCCGGCCACGCCTGCCAATCCACTGACCATTCAGTTGTGTATTTAGAAATGCTCGGACCTGTCGATGAAAATGAGGGGGAGCGCCATCCTGCTGGAAGTGAACAATATCTTCATCAAACTCATGTGGATGTTGTGCAATAACTTCCACTATGGCTGGAAAAACCGACTCTTGAAGCATTTGCAAATAATGTTCTCCATTGAGGTTGCCATCGATGAAAAATGGTCCTAGGATATGATTACCCAACATCCCAGCCCATACATTTAATTTTTCTGGGTACTGCGTTGAGGATTCTCGGTAAACATGGGGGTTTGCAGTATCCCAGTATCTGCAGTTATGTTTATTGACAGTTCCATTAACAAAAAAAGTGCATTCGTCTGAAAAAGCTACATTATACACGAAATGTGGATTAGCTTTGATTAGTTCTTCCATTTCTTCGCAAAATTGAAGTCGACGGTCTGGATCATCGTCGTTTAATGCATGGACAAGTTTAAATTTATAAGCGTGAAATTTATTTTTCTTTAAAATATTTCGAACTGTTTGATGGGATAAGTCACACAGTGTAGCAACTGATCGAGTCGACTGCTGAGGATCCTCTACAAATTCTGCCACAACTTCAAATTGTGTTTCTTCGTCTAAAGATGTTCGGCCTGATTTTGGAGCATTAGCTACGGATCCAGTTCGTCTGAACTTGCCAATTAGTTCCCTCAAATATTTTCGACACACTGGTCGATCAGGATGTGCTTCGTTGAATCTCCTTTCTGTCTCGTGGTAGTTTTCATTCGAGGCACCAAAAGTTAAAACCATTTCCACCTTATCGTCTTTGCTTCGAGCCATTATTAAAAATTTCTAATAAACTTTTAACAAAAAACTAACTATTGAATAAAGAAACTAAATTAAAAAACCTGACTAACTAAATAGCAACAAACTAACAATTAATTATTAACCTTAGAGAATTTTAATGAACAAAAAAGTCTTTACAGTTATCAAATAGTTACATAATTGTTATTATTAAATAGAAATTGAATTTATGCTGCAGTACTGACCTAGACCTGTCTGTAACAGCTCATTGACAGAATGAGTTGAGGAAACCCATGCCAGGGCAAACAGGGAAAACCGGCTGAGCAAAGGTCATCTAATGAAACAAACTCATGTTCACGAAAATTTCTTATTGTAATAACCTTAAATTTTTAGTTTGTACTTGCTCTGTTGTGGATAACCAATACATTTCATTTTCACTTTTTTTCAAAAGATGTTATTTTGCACTTTTGCAATAATAAAGAAATAAAAGATTTTATTAAAATAATAATTTATTAGCTGTAGAAATTTTTGGCTGTAGGAAGTAACAGTTTTTTAATTTAATAACATAAGCCTGATTTTTATTGCTCTTTCAAATGAGGGGTCACTCAAAGGGTGTATGCAATAATTACAATTTTGAGTTTCCCAAAAATATTGTAATTTTGAGCGTTTTTGGCTGTAATTCCGGTTAGAAATTAGATAGAAATTTCTAGTTTTCACCATTTACCTAGTTTTTTAATGCTCTTTCAAATGAGGTGTCACAAGCTAGGGGTTTACATTTAAAAATTTTGAGTTACCCCCCTTACCCCCCATTTAGGGGGGGAATTCAAAAATTTTAACTATGTCAAAAGAAACTTCACGTTATGTTACTATCACTCCCCAAACAATATTTCATTATTTTAAAAAAAAAAAAAAAATAAATAGGGGGGGGAGACATTTTTTACACACTGTATAATATTAAACAACATAATATCAGTACTTTGTTAATTCATTTTGTCATTATTCTATTATTAAAGCCAATAGATTCTCTTGGAATACAGGTTTGTAACAGGAAGGTTGTTTAAGCACAGTTCCCTTGCGGTATGTACCGTTGAAGGGTTAAATGGACTATGATTACCATTATTTATTTGAAAACAAGATTTGGTTAGTGAAAAAAAATCTTGCAAAATTTCTCTTTGCTACAGATTTTACTAAAAATATATGTCTTTTCGCCTGGTATAACAATATTTACCAAGAGTATCAATTATATCAATTATTTAAGATGGGGACGCCACTATGTGCGTATTTTAACACAAATATGAGTGAAGGACGAGTGTAGGATGAGTGGCACGATCTTGTAGTCTTGTTTTAGTGACTAATGCCGACATATTCCTTAGACACAGCTGTTAATTAATAGCCCAAACAGCTAACGAAGCATTGTGTCTGTAAGTAGAAGGGAATTTCGCCTTTTAGAATTGGTATGTCTTGTGAGTTTTACAAGACAATGGTTTGTAAACATTTACACATAAGAGGCCTTGTTTCTTTCATGCAGATGTAATCCATTTGCATAAAATACCAAGAGGAGACGATGTTTTTAGGTTCAGCTGCAGTTTTGCATATGCATAATATGTGTGTTGCATATTTAGATATTAGGATTGTGAACCTTGCCAAGACTCACCAGCTTAATTTAATAAATATAACGGTGCATTTTTACCAAATTAAAATTTTTTACTTAAAAGCATCGTTTTATTATATTTTCGGTATTTTTTTTTATTTTAGTAACAGCACACCAATAAACGACAAGCTCTACCTTAGGTTTGAAGCAAAACTAGTAGTTGATTTCTAAGCCTAAAATGTATAGGCGTGCATTACCATGATATCATTGTACTTTTGTTACTAACCCACTTATCAAATAAATAGTGATATTAATAAAATAGTTATGCAAAAAACTTATCATAGCATAAATTATTGAATAGTTTATAGTAAATTGTGCAAACTATTATTAGTAAAGAACTTCCAAAATATAATAAAGAACTAAAATATCATGTTAAAAAAAATTTATGTAATTGGCAAATTGTTTTTTGACTCTCAAGAGTGGATCACAACAATTTATTATAACAATTTATATAACTCGAAGCCTTAAGTACACTTATTTTCACAAAGAATTTATTCAAGGTTGCTGTTTAGGATATTATAATGGTCACATAAATGCGCATTTCTAGTTTATGCAAGTTTTAATTGAATTTAAATTTTTAACTGGTAAGTATATAATCTAGTTTATTTAAACTATTTATTTAAGTCTGGTGAATACTTACATGGAAAAATTCAAACTTTTTGTTCAGGGTTCTTAGACTATACGTGTTAGATTACAGTACCCTACTCAACTTCCCACGTCTAACATTTAATATTTACTTGATGTTTCGTACCTATTTCAGGGACCGCCTGGTGAATCTATTGTTGGACTGCCCGGAATGCCGGGAGCTGCTGGCGTGCTTGATGCAGGCCTCAGGGATGACCAGGTTAGTATTTTATAATATTTTAAAACATAAATTGAAAGTTTGGCTTCCATAGGTCTTGAACTTGCGGCACCGCAGGTTTTATATCACTGGTAGCATTGAATGCGGTTGCGGCCCGCCCCAATGCATAAAAGTTCCCATAAGACCCAATGTACCTACGCCGCAAAAAACCTGCGTTTCCTATAGGTCCACCGCACTGGACTTGCGGGCCGCAGTATGGCGACCGCAGGTGCATAAAAAGAGCCTAAAGCTGGGTTTTCCTAGGCGCGGAAGCGGAGAGCGGACTCCACTTGTCTAAGGTAATTTAATGTTACTGTTTTCCTACAAGCGGAGTGGAACACCATGTTAATCTCTTTTCCGCTCTCCGCGTTCCTGTCTCCGCTCTCCGCTTCCGCGCCTAGGAAACCACAGCTTAAGCAATCCACGTCCTCAAACTAATCGTTTCTGCTATTTTTTGCTTTTATATATTAAGTTGAATCTCATATGTAAAAATTGTTGACGAATAGTTTTTTTTTTTTTTTTTAAAGAGGTTAGCGGCCTCTTTTAACCTTACATTTGCCCGTCCACATAGACTAAGCGCCCGTGCGTGGATCGTTTACAGCAAAGCAAGGAGTGAGCCGGTACAGTACAAAGGTGAACTGTACTGATAAAATGTTTTCGGCAGTGACCAGGATCCGAACCCACGACATCGCTGCCTTGGGCCCGAAGTCCGCGACGCTACCGACTGAGCCACCGACTCACTAACTTTCTGTAAGAAGGGAAGACTATATTTCATAAAGAAAACTGTTTAAATGGAAAAACGAACAAAATTATTTTTATCTTAAGACAAAATAAATACCTAGGCATGGAATATTGACTTTATGATAGTGCATCCATTGCTAAATGTACTATTACCAACAAATCTACTATAATATTTTACAACATAATTTAATTTATTTTTCGGAACTATTGCCGTCATATATCTTTTTTAATAGTATGATAAAGATATAGGTACGTAAAGATTCCAAAAAAGTATATTTTGTAATAATTCCTCAAATTGCACTTGGAAGTGGATATGTATTTAAACTAATTAAATAAATTAAACATGGAAAATTTGTTTTCAAAATCCATTTTAAATGAGAAGATTAACGTGGTTCGGATTTTCTAGATGAGTTGTCATTGGTTTCATTAAAGCCTGGACACGTTTTCAATTGCTATCACAAGTTTTTGTCCCTACCTTCCGCTCTTTATAAATCAGTGTTACTATTGAAATAAAGGGATAATATGTGTTTTGATTAAAATGCAAGGCCATGTATGTGGCTTTTACATTACAATATTCATGGTAAGTAAAATACCAATCGTCATTGTTGTAATTATAATACAACTAACGTGAAAATAGTTGTTATACCATAATATAGTTGTTGATACCGTGTATTTTTACGACTTGTAATTATAACATTAATTAGGTCAATGGGCTAAAAAGTATGATTTGAATGTCTGATTGATTTGTGTTTAGATTTATCACTACAGATTATTTTGTTCGTTGTTTTCAAATATATAATATAAACACCTAATAATATTATTAAAATACAGATGTCTAAACTTTGCGGATAAAATCAACCCGCCTAGTCGGTTGATCGGTTGATTTTACAGATATTACAGATAATTCATATATTTCAAGGATGTTAATATTTTCAATATTTTTTATGTGTAGCACCTTCTTTACTCCTACATTCTTATCAATAATACCATTGACTATTGGATACTGTTAGTTGTATTGAGAGTCAAAGATAATACATAATCTTTGGAGTCCTGAGGAGATTTTCATAATTCATCCATGTAACTCTATTTTGTCTTGACACTGTTTTTTAAACAATATATCAAGTTTACATTAAGGCTTAATGCAGTATTCATAAATTGTATCCATGGCTTATTTTAGTATTTATTTTTATCCAAACAAATTAGACGTCATTACTGAAATTTATTATCATTTTGATACAACGAAAATCTTTACTCCATTATTCTATATTTTAATCGGATTTAGTTACATTACAATTAAATAAAACTAAACATATAGAGCTCAAACCTACATTATTCAACCATTAAACGACTTGAAGGTATTGTTTAAATTTAAATGAAGTCCTTTATAAAATTAATTACACTCATAACTTAGAGTATAGGTACTAAACGTTAAAGTGGTGCAAAAAAGTCAAAGAGAATATTTGGTACTCTAATTTAATGCTGGTTACGTTTCAACATTATTATGACACTTTTCACCATCTGATTGATTGCTAGATTGGTAATGAAAATCTTCTTTATACAGTTCTTAGTATCAAGTGATTCCCAAAGCCAATTAACTTGATATTAATTACTAAACAAACCTATCACAGTACATAATTCAGTATTACCTTAAGGTATTCTTGAGAAATTTGAAGAATAACTTATACATTAACTATGGTTAAGTATAGATAAGAACGGATATCTGACTTTTTTATCGTACACAATATACATTTTAGAGATTGAACACTTTTTATTAAACTGGTAATACAAATGTTACATGGGAATTGAATAAAGCTGAGCGTATGTTTGTGTTGCCGTTTTCAAACAAAAATATTAAAAAATAAACACCTTTTATTCATACAATTACGGGCTTAAACTTGACAACAAAGCATAAAAACAAAGCATAAAAAGTCCAAAAACCTGAGAATCATGCAACAAGAAACCCCACATTTAAGCTCTAAAATCTAAATTTTCAAAAGTTTTCAACCGTATATTATTAAAAAAAATTTATTTAGCTTAAAATAAAATAAACCGTCAGATTTTATTTATATGTATCATTTGTACTTTTTTTGGTTCCAAGAGGTATGAGATTAAAAAATGCAATCGCCATGTAACGTTTGATTTTAATTATTAGAGAGTGTTTAACCAGTGAAAATGTTTTTTGTGTGAAATGTTAATAGTTTTCCAAAATTGATCAAAATATGTTGATTAGTTTAAGTTCAAAGCATTACAATTTTACTTCTTTTCTACGAATCCTTGAACCCCATTAGTCCGTTACCCGTATTGTTAAGTAAAAAACAATGCTGTTAAGTAGGTAAACAACGCTGTTAAGTAAATCTTATCAATTCTAAAACTGAACTGAAACGGCTAGTTTAAAAAATGGTCGTAGGTAAAATTTATAATTACTGAATAATATATATTCGACTTGACGTAAGTTTCTATATACTTGCTAAAGAGTTAATTCCTGATTTAGAGACTGGTTATTTAAACTGTAATGGAGTATTTATTCCACCACAATCGTTAACACAAGGTGAGCCTGTGTACACAAGGAAAACACGTTGTAATATGATATAGAGAGTTTGATGATTTGAACAGTTATATATATATATATTTTTTTTTTTTTTAAAGAGGTTGGCGGCCTCTTTTAACCTTGCATTTGCTCGTCCACATAGACTAAGCGCCCGTGCGTGGATCGTTTACAGCAAAGCAAGGAGTGAGCCGGTACAGTACAAAGGTGAACTGTACTGATAAAATGTTATCGGCAGTGACCAGGATCCGAACCCACGACATCGCTGCCATGTTAGTTTACGTTGGCCCCGCATGGGCCCGAAGTCCGCGACGCTACCGACTGAGCCACCGACTCACTATATTGTACAGTACACTACCCAGTGCACTATATTGTACTATATTGTACAGTATTTAATTTTTTTTATTTATTGTATATTTATAAACCTATAACATTCACTGGCCTTTTTTACACCATCATTTTTTATCTATTATGAAATAAAATTCTGAATCCCTAGCCAAGAGGTATTTTAGTTAGTTTAGTTTGATTATTTTTGATAGTTATGGAAAATATTGAAGTCTCCTTGTTATATATTAATTAATATTTACTTCTGTATTGTATTTAAGTTTACATATATATATATATATATATAATTTATATATAATATATATAATAATTATAATATATAAGCGCGTTGTAAAAAAAGTTTTAGTTCTCTCTTTCTATCTTATTTTAATGGAACTTTATTCAGTTGTATGCCATACATTTTATCAATCTTATTATATCAATTGGTTTTAAATGTAGCTGTGTACATACAAGAGTTTCCCATGTACAGAAATGTAATTAAGGAAATGCATATGTTATGATGGACTACGCTTTGAACCATACGCCCACAAAGGAGCGATGTGTTCATTAAATTTGAACATAGGCTTTTCTGTAGTGACATAAGGTTCATGTAATTATAAGACACGAATTCTCTTTTTTTAATTCAATGGCTTTTTGTTTGCTGCTCCCCTTTACATTTGAATGGATTATTGTGCGATTCTCCTTTTATTATTCTTATGGTTTTTGTATATTCCTACTCTTATTATTTTTTGTGACCATTAAGTTCCCGGAGGTGTTTATTCTTAAAGTTGGTTACAGGTAGCTGAAATGTTATAGTGGTCATCTAAAAATTATAATGTTACCAGCTTAATTCTGACAGACTTCAAATCATTTAAGGTTCGAAAGTGGACTAAGTTGTTATCATTAGAGTAGGCTAACCAGCTGATCTTAGTCAGGTTCTAGTAGTCATCTCTAACATTTGACACTGATCGTTCACTCATCAGCCCTAAAATACGAAATTGGACAAAGTTGAAACAAACTAAGCTGATTTAACCTCATTTAATCATTATTTAATAATTTGTTTTGTGTGATATTTATTTATAGTTCAGTTGATGTTTGTTGTTTCCTCAATTGGTTGAAATGATTTAAATAGAAAGAAGTAATTTATATTCCAATGAAATTGCCTCTGTCATATTTCAAACAATGCACAAAATAATAATAACTAAACACTAGAGCTCGTTCACTATTTCAATGATCATTAATTTTGATACAAAGGTCCTTTGAAGGATAACAATAATTACTATTCCTATGGTAATTCAAAAGTTTTGAACAAGTGATTCTTTGTTTTAATATGCAAACTCCGAAGGGTCTACAAGAACCCTCGACTTTGTAACGTATGGGAACAGGTCTCGAC